TTTTTTTTTTTTTTTTTTACCTTTTTTCTCTCTCTCCGTCTCCCTCCTGCTTTCTCTTTCTCACACACATGCTGCTACTTACACACATAGACATTTCGAAACCTGGGACGTCTGTAATCCAGACTTGGTAGTGCCACGGGTTCGCTTGTGTGCTGGCAAAATGCAATTTGACAGAGCTACCGAGATTATGTCAAAATGTTGATGAAAGCTCCAGTCACCGTTAAGGAGCAGCGCTGTGTCTGTAGCGGAGGCACCGTGCCAGAGATCTGCGATTTCTGCGGCTTAGCGATTGTTTCCTCGCTGAACTGATTTGCACATTTGGCACACCTGCTCATATCTATCTCCAGTTTTCACTCAGTGCGCTGCTCTCATGCTGTTTGTCAGACGCCAAGGAGCAGAAGCTTTCATCAGAGGCAGACCTGGGTGGTAATCTGCACCCTGCTGGTCCCGCTCCAGCACTCTCTGGTGGGCCGAGGAATGTTCCACTCCGAGGGGCTGCTTTTCAGCTCCTTGGATTCGATGTCACTTCTAATTGTGCGTTGATATTTGTGCTAATCTCATACAGAGGTCTGCAGCCAGGGCAGCGAGACAACTATTTTGGCTGCTTTAAAATCTGTTAACTAATGAAACAGTCACGTCAAAACAGACCTGTACATTTTCTTAAGTCTTTCAATGCACCAATAGGGACGGTGGTAAATCTCTGAGATCCAGATAATCCTGTATATTGAATACACAGATGATTTGTTAAACTAAAGTTATCAGTATTGCACTTGTCAAATAGTATAAATCTCAGTTTGGACTGAAAAACACAACAAGCTGGCCGTGGGAATATGGCAATCTTTAAATACCATCTCCAAATTTGTGACATCCTCTAATCCACTCTTTGCTGTTTTTGATGTAAGCTGTTGACAAGAGCATTTGTGATTATGTGTCTACAATATTATGGATTTCCAACACTTAAATCTGAAACATAAGGCTGCACTGATGGATATCATCTTGAAAATATATTCTCATGTATCACTCTACATCTCGAGGGGGAAAGTCCTTAAGCTCGGAGCTCTAATTTTTTTCCCAATGAAAGGAAGTCACGTCTTAAATTTGATGCTTTTAACATGCCTGTGTGTTAGAGGTATTATTATACAGCGTTATCACTCATTCGCAGTAAAAGGAGAAAGAGTGTTTTCAGATCATTAAAAGAAAGTCCCAGAGTTGTGATTAGTCGTGTGACACCTGTTGCTTATCAGTTTCCGATCAGGGAAGTGATTAGTCCTAATCCTCTCAATTAAAGTGTCAGTCCACTCCAGTCTAAACAACATGGACACTCCAGTTCAAGTGAAAGTTTAACAACTGGGATATGTTCTGTTTCTTTCCCTAAATATGTTGTAATGTTGATTTAAACTGTGTTGTGTCCCATTACTAGACGATGTTGTCAAATTCTTGCAATAATACACGTGTTGTTGGACGGCTATGAAAGGGAGGTTATTGTTGTTTCAGGTGTTAGCAGGCAGAGGGTCAGATCAGGCGGTGGGGGAGGTATCGGATGATGTCTGACAGATCAGCGAGAGCGAGGGAGTGTGTTATAAACTCAGTAATATTCCATAGTTTTTTTAAGCCACACTGAACTCTGCCAATTTCAGTTTTTAAGAAATAAGTATTCTGATTGGGTATCAAAGATTTGCTGTTATAAAAATGAAAGTAGACTATAAATTGTCTCTGCAGTATGAATGTGGCGCTCTAAAACAAAGCTTAACATTTGCATTCTCTTAGCTCAGTGCCAGTTGTTATACAAGTATGTAAAAACATATAATGGTTTCTGGATTGAGGTCCAATCTCACTGCAGCTCTGTTATTGAAACCGTCAGCTGAACAAAGGGAAGATGTGTGATGACATAACCTCTGACAGCGTGACCCCTGACTCGACTCTCACTTTTGCTTTCACAGGAGAGGCCTACATAAGACTAAACAAGCTGTCTGATGCTGAACACTGGTACAGAGAGTCCCTGCGAGCCAAGCCAGACCACATTCCAGCACACCTCACCTATGGCAAACTCCTGGCTATGACGGTAAGACTTTGATCATTTTAGACCCGTTTCCACTAAGCAGTACGGTACGGTTCAGTTCAGTTTGGTACACTTTTTTTCAGTTTCCACTGTGAAAAGTTGTGGATGGTACCAATGGAACTGTTCTGCACCGTCCCCATTTTTGGTACCCCTTCTGTTGGGGTACCTAGCTCACAGATCTCGTACTCAAAGGTGGAGCTGTGAACACTGAAAGCCGTTGACAGTCACTCTGCTCAGGGCCGAACTGTGGCTGGTTTTGAGGCTCATGTAACCACTGTTCATACCGCGGAGAGTTTTATTAGTAGACTGTAACTATAAAATAAAATGTTATGCTGCCTCTCGCAGCAGCTGGAGTCGGAGACTGCCGGCAACTTTTAAGGTGGAATGTTGACTTGTAATGTTACTCAATGCATGAGTTCATGACGTGAATCCATCAGCACACCTCAAATTTCACTGTGACAACTTTGACCATTACTTTCACATTACTAGTTTTTATATGACATACACTTTTAGTAATGGGTGGATCTTCAAGCCTTTATATATATTAATTTCAACCAGATTACGTGAAGGCATATACTCAAATCGTCACTCAGAGAAACAAAGTTGTGGAGTGTGGTCCCTGTGGGCTACATCAACACTAAAGCCCTGAGCTTGCCTGAGAAGGACTACATGCACAAACCCACTATTTTTAAATATCCCATGGAGAGAGACTCTCACTGCAGACCGTTTTATTCTGTTCTGAAAATGTCGGTGTGCAGCCTCGTTCTGTAGATGATAAACGAGGCGCAGACTTCCATCTGTGTCACTGATAATGAGGAAATACAGTGAGTGCTGGACAGAGCAGTGAGTGACAACAACCACGCCCACATTTAAGGGTACTATTTGCGGTCTAAGCGCTAGGGTCTAGGTAACATGTCTGAAGGGTTACTTTTGGTTCCAAAGGTACCATACCAGAAGTGTTTGATGGAAACGGGCCTTTTGTCATGAATGTGTGTGTGAATAGGTGAATATGACATGTAGTGTGAAAGTGCTTTTTGTGGTCAAAGACTAGAAAGGCCCTATACCAGTGCAAGTCCATTTTACCAAATCGGTGACATCAGTCTAACTTAATGCCTCCCTGAACCCGTTCTCATACTCTGCCTGTACTCTCTCAATTCTTTTCACTTTCTTTTTTATTGCACTCTCTTTCATCTCCCCTCGTATTTCATCACTTTTCCCCAGCTCTTTACTGACGACAGTAATGTCCTCCTGAGGTCTCTACAGTTAATCAATAGTGTGCGGGTGAGAGAGGAAAGATTGGAAGAGAGTGGCGCTTGAGAACGAGGGAAGGTTGTCACGTTGTGTTTCTCAAGATGTTCCCCTCTGTCATGGGAAAAGGACTTCCTGATTAAAAACCTTGTCCTGGCTGTCCCGTTTTTGGTCCATGTAACTTGTTACTAGCTCTTAAAAAGTAGCTCAAAAAACTGCATTTGTAACTTTGAACCAACAGCAAAACAGATATTAGGCAGTTGGCGAGTTTGCAACGTTGCTCTGGGGAGTAGGGAATTGAAATCTCTGAGCGCTGTAAAGAAAGAAATCGACCTCTGACCAGCATTTTCCAGGACAGAGACAATATCCTTGCAGGGTCACACAGCTGACCTGTGTTTCACTGACCAAAGAAGCTGCTGTGTATGTGGAGAGGTTTCAGGAGAGAAGCAGTTTCCATAGTCGCAGAGTTTACGAGGAGATGCTCATGTTGTCGGGTCATACAGTCATCCGTTGCAGATCGCTGCGAGATAGGCATGTTTGGAGTAGAGCTGACCGAGAGGAGCAGTTAGAGCTGAAAGAGACTGTCAGAGGAGAAATAAACAAATTAGAGGAAGAGTTTCACATACGGTCAAAAGAAGGGTGGAGGCCTTCTCTTCAGCTGACACCACCGTCTCTCTCACAGTCTGGGCCCTAATGAAAGGATGTAGTAAGTGTGCTCAGTAGCCTGAAGCGGTGGGATCTGGATCTCCACTGAAAGGCTGCAGTCTTCCTGGCCCTGTCCCTTTTCATTTCCCCGATGGAAACAGAGTCTTTTTCAAGTTCTTTTTTATTTGTAGTCTTTCCAAAATTGTGAGTTTTTGTGTTTCACAGCTGATATGTGTGGAAGAATTTTACCCACACATAATTTACCTCAGCATACTGGTAAAAACTTTTTTTTTCTGGCATGTCTTGGCTATTTTTGTGAGTTTTTCCATCAAATCTTTACATTAAGCCCTTAGATAGAAATAGTATGATTAGGAATAAGCATGTTTGCATTCTTGCAGAGAGCTTGATCAGATGATTGATACCATTCTCATATCTGTGCAACAAATACAAAGCTTCAACCAGCAGCTGGTCAGTGCTTAACACATGGACTGGCTTGGTTCTGTCCATGACAAAATCCATCTATCAGCACCTCTAAAGCTCAACTATTAACATGCTGTATCTGATTTCTTTAATGTGTACAAAAAGCTGTGTAAAAATGACACTTTGTGTTTTTTAACAAAGGTTATTTGCTTCACTGTTTCTTGAACAGGCTTGGTAACTTCTGGCATATGAAAAGTAAAGGAATATGCTTGAAAAATACATTTTGGGAAATAGGCTTGTATGTGGTCTTGCCAAGAGTTAGATGAGAAGATTGACACCATTGTCTGTAGAGTCTGTAGGGTAAATATGAAGCTTCTCCACAATGCAATCATTCAGTACAATCAACGGAAACCATAAGCACCAAAGTATAGCTTAATGGACTCAAATTTACCGGACAACTCTGGCATAGTGAACAAAAGAAACTGCTGGGTCCTAAAATCTGAATATGCACTCGTCCCTCAACTATTTCTATTCTTTAGACTGTTAAAGGGTCCATTGATCAAAAGAATGCATAGAGGTTTACATAAAAAAACTAGAGCACTCGGAGAGCGCAGACCTCCGCCAAGCAGCTCGGATTTCCCGCCATTTTATTATTTTATCCACTTCGCTTCAACCGATCACCACCCAAATTTTATCATCTGTTCCTTGTCCCATTATCAACCTTTCCTGAAAATTTCATCAAAATCCATTCAGAACTTTTCGAGTTACTTTGCAGACAAACAGACAAATGTCGGTGAAAACATAACCTCCTTGGCGGAGGTAATTAATCCAAGTTGTGAATATTAGCGTATGAAGTCCATGGTGAACTGTGTATGTCAATTTCTATCATCAAACCATGGATGTATCAAGAGACTTACATTAGATGGACCACAGTTCAGCATTCCCTCGACTTCTTTCACAGTGCTCCTGGGTATGCTTGTTTTCGTTACCTTGCCGGCTACATGATGAAAGTGTCTAAGAGCTTTTCCGTGTACTTTTCACCCTGAGACAGCCCTCAGAGTACAGCATGCGCTAGTTTAGAAGTCAGATGAGCTCTGTATCTTTGCAGCCACCAAACTACATTTTTAAATGCCATTTTCTTTGCATCATGGCTCAGTGACAGTCATTATCTTATGTGAATTATTTTGCGTAATAGGCTTTCTGCTATCACACAGTGTATTAAGCTGATTTCTTTAAGTTATATTGTTGCCTATAAATACCAACCCCACAATGGCGATGGTTGTCACAAGTGCATAAGCCATATTTGACACTTCATACCTTTGAACAGAATAAGCTTAAGGAGAGTAAGGCCACTTCATTCTTATCAGACATTTTTTGCTTTCATTAGACTTTGAAAGGGATCTCATTAAGGACACGGTTTTTGAGAGGTTCAGATGAAAGTAAAAAGTGACACAACCAACCCTGTGCTCCCTCAAGGTACAGACATGAGAGTGGTGCCAATCTTTTCATCTAACTCTCGGCAACAAAGCAAAATGTCAGACTACTCAATTAATCTGATAATTACGTTAATGCTTCCTCGTGGGCTCAGTAATGCCATTAGGTAGCATGTCTTCAGTGAAGTATTCTTAGGGTTGTAGATCATTATATGTCTATATTAAATTGAGCCACAGCACTATACTAGATTGATTTTGCCATCGGTAGTCAGACTGATGGTCAGCTTAAAGAGTAGCTCAACTGACACCTCAAATAAAAGTCTCTTGTTAAGCTGACATGAATTCCTCTCTGTACAAAAGCCACTGGACATCAGAAACTGTCTGAGACCGAACACTGTCAGCGAGGACAGTCAATGGGAACAACACAATTCTTTAGTGGAGACTGTTAAGACTTGTTGAAGTGGACTCAGGGAAGAATTCAGTGGGCCGTGAAGAGAAACTCATTTTATTTAAGAAAGTGTTATTGATTTTGGGGAAAAGTAGAGCTCAAACCTGCAGGGATGAATCTCTGTAGATCTCTGACCATGATGGATGATAGAAGGGTTTGAGCCCCCGTGATCCTGTGAGTGCAAACAATGCCATCAGAGGAGGGAACTTAGTTGTTTAGACAAGCTTAGAGCCTCTTTATCCATTAGGGAACTGTGAGAGAAAGAAGTTTTTATATTGAAAAGTGCTGGAAAGTTGTACCGATGAATTCGAAGTTAGGCTTATGTATTTTCTTCCTGTTGTAGCTGTGGCCTCTTTGCGTGATGACAACAGCATTTAAGCATGATCAAAACCAGCGCAGAAAGTTGACCTGCCCACCCGCCCCCGCTCCTTTCATCCCCCACCTCCACTCTCCCCATGGCACCACTGTGAGTGATGAAGATGCTTCAGATACTGTCAGGGGTTTTGAGGTTCAGATCCCTGCGGGAGAGGTGGAGAGACAGCGAGATAAGGCTTGGCAGCAGGGTCAGAGAAGGGTGAGAGGAGGACGGTGGAGCTGAGCTGGTAGCTGAGCTGAGGGGCAGAGAGTTACGAGTCGCTGTGATGTGTGCATGAGGGGGAGACAAAATACAGGAGGAAGGGAGAGTTAATAAGTAAGATCAGTATTGTCCCCCCAGCTGCGCTGACCCCTCCACACCTCCGCTGACACCCCAGGGATCAGGATGTGATTCGGGCTCTCTGTACACACCGCAGGTCAGAGATGGACACGGCCGCCCTGATGCCTGCAGTATTGGATTCAGTCATCTACTCGTCATTTCCGCAGCTAATACGATGCAGGCTTCATTCATAATCACCCCGGTGACCGCAGAGCCGGAGCTACATCTGCAGTTTATCTGATGTTATCAGGAGATTTGAAGTGTGAGGCACGCACCAATAAGCTCAGCATGTATGTGACAAAAGGGAGGATATTGTATCCGCACGATGAGCTGACTAGAATGAGAAGTGGATATATTTAATGGAAAGTGTGGTTTGAAAGGTTGTTGGCATTTTGTTATTAACTTCCTATATTGTATTTGTGTTTTCCACCCCCGCCCCCATGCTAGCGGCCTCAAGGTGCTTTCAATTCAACAAAGAGGAAGCGTTGTCATGTCAGGAAATGTAGAAATGGGGTGACAGCAAGCAGCCTGGCTTAGGGTTCCGCTGAGTCTTGTCTTTGTCAGTTCAGCTGTGTGCTCTCCATTAGCACTCATGTCACATACAGTTATTATTATTTCTTTCCAGTATATAGGTTCCACTTTAGGAAGAAAAATCCTGTCCTGCAAACAAATTACTACACATGCATTTCCATTCTTATAGTCTGGCACTTGACTGGAGAAAATCTAGTTTGCCTTTATGATCCCTTACCCTTGAAAGTCGATCTCATTCGTCCACATTATAAAGAGTTGAAAGTAGGGTTGAGCCGAACACTCAGATGAAATGAGTATCCAGTACTGATAATGTATTTTTTACACGTGTGAGTAACATCCGAGTATAATGTGTCATTAGTCTGTTCTGTAAATAGTTTCCTAATAAATAATATAGCAGCTTCTGATCAACCCGTATCAGTTTCAGACTTAAAATCAAAACTTACCGTCAGATCTAACCCACTTCCGGCCAAGCCTCACCCCATTTCTATTTAAACCCGCCCACTAGGAGTACGGATAAGGAACCAAATAATTTATCTGATTAAACAGATACAGATAACAGTGTACTCATTAATCCCTTGTTGACAGGATGAATCATAAAATGGCAAATGGCTGCCTTTATACTGTGAATACCGTGAGTTATAGTGAAGCCAATTTTGTCCTTGTCTTTGAAATTGTTGCTATTAAGCCATGTTTAATGTGTATTCTGGGTGTGTTTTGAATCGACTAAACTTTACAGCGCTTCACAGAAACACCACTGCCAACTAGTGTTTTGGAGGTGTAACTGCAGAGTGACACAGACACACCACCGCACAAGTATAAATGCTTACAACAGCGTAAGCCACTTGCTTAGGCTTTGCACAGAGCTGACTCAGTATAAATCCTGCTTTAGCCTTGTTTGCACACACTAGAGTTTTGCAGAGGCCTAAAACTGAAACCTGAACCCAACCTTTACCCGAGCCTTAACCACCTGACCCAACTGAGCCTGATGGGTATTTCGACATTGAAGATCCGACCCAAGATCCAGAACCTATATTTTTTGCTTCACTTTGTCTGTTCATGGCAGACTGTTAGTTAGTCAGGCATGTGCAACACACTGACGATGCCCTTTTTCCTTTTCCCCACTGGGCAACACGCATCTTATTCCAACACACAACACATACTATATGGACAGAGAAGATTGGCACTGTCAGAGAGCTTATTAAATTACATTTGACATTATCCTCTCCTGATCCAAGCCGAAAACTTTACACAGCAAAGGTTGGGTCGCAGAACTTTGGCTCAAAAAATGTTGAATAAAGAGAAACCTGATCATTTTTCTCCTTGTCCTGAGCAGTGCTGGTCATACCTTCGATGGTGGCGGAGTTAACTCACATTGGGTTGGAAGCACCACCATGATTGACTTACCAGAGAAAAACAATAATGGTTGGGTTTCATGATTAGTCATAGAGACATACAGGTGAGCCAAATGCGTTATAATCCAGAAATTTGAAAATGAAAGAGGATGCAGTTGCCAGTTTCAGGGGGTAAAGTCATATAACAAGTAGTGTTGCCTCTCTGGGGATTAATAAGAGGTGTAATAACATTTCTTTTAAGACGTTTAATGAGAAATGAGCAACTTGTTACGGTTTTGAGGTCTTTACTCCTAACTGCCGTATATCAAACTCCGGGCATGGCATCCATTAATATACTTAGACTTGTCATAATATAAATCCTCCATCTACTCACAACTGCAACTCATTTCAATGTGTGAAAGCTTAATTCTGAGGTTTAAAAAACAGACGTAGACCTGTGTTATTATAAAACCAGCTGGCCCTCAAAAATACACATTCCTACATCTGTGAATACGAGTATGAAAATACACAGAGATGATGCTTTTCAGGCTGGAGCTGTGATCGGTACTTGGACACCAACAGCTCTATTCAACATATACTTAGCAAGGGCTCGATTTTCCGCAGCATCAAGGGAAACCCCACTCAGATATTTACATTAGAAAATTATGTATTTATTGAATCTACAGCTCACTGAAAACGTATACGCTCCACTAAGTATACAGTCATTAATGCTACACTGTACTGATTGGATTGGAGCCCGTTCCTGTATTTGACTAAACTGAAGCAATTTGCCGTATTTCACACTCAGTTCATATACATTATTTTTCCTGGCTTATGCAATCTTAATTTAATCCTTCTTCATCTTTATTTCTGATGCTTTGGCATTTTACCTCAAGCCCTTGTAGACTTGGCACAACTCCAGTTTAACATTATATGTTTTATTCATGCAAAGGCATTATCGTTTCTTGAAATGCACACTAATGGTTGCACTGTTAATGCTAAAATCAGCTTTTATAGATGAGTGCGCATTGTTAATTGTTGATCAGATGGCATCTGGTGCCCAACTGAGAGCAGGGATGTGTCAAAGTCCCAGCTGGCACGACTATTGGCCAGCTGCTCTGTTCTGTTTGTGCTGTGATTGGTTACGTGTCACAGTCTAAAGGACCTGAGGGGAGCCCTGGAGGTCCACGGGGTTTTAGCGATGCCTCTCCTCATCATGCTTTGCTCACGCTCCCAGTATGGATTCTTTCATCTGTCTAAAGGCTAGAGCAGCACTGTACACACTTATAAAACCATTAGTGTGTGTGTGCCATGCACCTTTGTGTGCTTACGTGAACCTAAAGATCCCTATAGATATATGATCATGCTCACATTCTGTCCCTTTCCGCTTCTCTCCTTTCCACCTTCTCACTCTATTCTATACACTACTCTCTGTCTTGTTTCATAGCGGTCAGGCCACACACACCGGCAACCTGCGGTTATGCTCTGGAAGTGTTATTTGCACAGATAAAAGTGTGTAATGAATGAGCCTTTGCCCCGTCTGGTCCGCTGTGCCAAGCACGACGGTGTGTACTTTGACAGGAGGACACATGAGCTTGAAAGAATAACACTCGCGGTTCATGTGTTTCATGTCTATTTATTAAGATTTATTGTTAAAGTGGGTCTGCGGTTTGGAGAGGGACATTAGGTATACACAAAGGTATTTTGGCCGTTGAGCCGGGCGCGGTATTTTTATAATGAGTAGGTTTGAGGAGCAGTTGAAACAATAATGACACTGTGTTTAATCCGTCTCTCTCAGGGGCAGAAAACAGAAGCGGAGAGGTACTTCCTGAAGGCCATCCAACTGGATCCCACAAAGGGCAACTGCTACATGCATTATGGTAAGCATCGCTTTATTTCTTATTTTACTTTTAATTTGACATATCCCGACTTTATTCTCACATCCTCAAATCTTTTATTTGTCGATTTAACACATAACACGCCGCACTTGTGTGCACAAAGGCAGGAACTTCTGCACTTTGAGGGGTTGTACAGACAACAGTGTTGTCTGACCCCTTCGCCATCCCTTCCTCTATCCAGCTGCGGTGTCAGTCCGTACGTGATTAGTGGAAGATCGTAACAAGAGGGGATGATTTCCTCAGATTGTTCTCTTTTATTTGATGGAAATGTGGAACGTGACAATTTAAGCGTCTCTCTTGTTTTATATGATCTCCATTTGACTCACACATGATTTAAAGTTGCAGTGTCACCTCTTGTATTTACTGTCATATAAGATTAAGTTTGAATAAGCTGAGAAGTTAATTAAATATTTCATTTAAAAGCCTTTAAAACTTTGTCCGACACAGAAGTTTATGACAAAGTGATGAGTCAGCTTGTTACTATTGCACCAGCTTGTTTGTGACATTTGAAGAGATCAATACGCCAGATAAATGGTGGATTTTTGCATTTTGTGGAAGTACTGTATGTCCATGTTGTTGCCTTTAAAGGTTAAGAACTCTGTCTAAATTGAGTTGGACCATATTGATCCACACAAGGAAAGAGTGTCATTACAGAGGCGAAGAACAGGATAAAGATGGACGTGCAACTGACAAGTAATTAAAGGTTGTGCGTCCACATTATGCAAACTCAGGCACAAATCATACATTTTACAGCACCTTAGTCTGATTAGGGTGGCTGCTAATAGTTTACAGTTTCATATGTTCACAATTTAGCACAGAAACAAACCCAAAATGGTGTTATGTATTGTTGGATATGTGGTTTCGATACTAACTGAATGTAAATCATCAGAAAAACCCCAAAGCCCAGGTCTCCCACTGTCCTGGAACCGGTTCAGTGTTCAGAACTAGATCTTCCACTATTCCCTGAAAAGTCATGCTGTAACATGATAACAAGAATTACAGTATCAAAGTCTGTATACACAGCTTTGTAAAATATAGGGGGGCTCCCACATTTATTGATGCAGGGGCTGTCTGTCCTTTATTACCCATACATGTGCTTTGATATATCATAAACCCTCCATATAACTGCGGAGGTGTTTGCAACCTGGAGCTGTTTTACACTCAGTCATGGTCTGAAGTCTCAGTTTACATCACCTCAGGCTTGTACTCACGGGTTCAGTTTCATCCACAGTTATTAAGGAAATATGCTTAGGTTCACATAGTGGTTTAGCATCCCGGTACAGTAGCGGGGCTAACCAATGTCAACAGGGTATTAATTCCTCTCTAACCCTGCCCCTGACCGAGGAGTCCACCCTCAGTTCACGGCCCTGACAGGCTCCCGTGTTCCCATCTCATTCTGCGGGTCCACGGAGGTCGACTCTAAATGCAGCCGCACCCGTAATGAGACACAAACCTCCTGGGAGAAACATTTCCATCTTAAAGAAACAGATATATCAAGGTCGGTTTGTCTGAACAAATGGCTCTGAGATATGGCCAAAGAGTGATGGTACGTTGTACTCATATCTAGAGTTTCAGCATATTATTACAGGGGCAGACCAGGCTGTTGCTCGACCAGGGCCAAAGGCAACACTTGCAGACTGTGTATCCCTCTGTGCCTCCATGGGGATCCCTTAGCGTTTTAACAGCGGTGTTGTTCTCTCCTGCCCTGCCAGGTCAGTTTTTGTTGGAGGAGTCGCGGCTGCTGGAGGCGGCGGAGATGGCAGAGAAAGCCGCGCGCCTCGACAGCGGGGAGTTTGATGTGGTCTTCAGTGCGGCCCACATGCTCAGGTGAGTGTTTGATTTGAACAATTCTGTTTTTGATGATTTCCATAGCCCCAGCACATGCACAAAGACACTGTATGTATTTGTAGATGAGTTGGGTGGCCCACAGTTTTCCATGGCTGAGGAGAAAGGAGGCTGTGTATGAAAGAGGGAGGTCTACTGTCTGCACGGTTTATCCAGGGGCTTACACTACTCCTCAGCCAGTGTGATTTACTTGGCTGTACTTTGTAATCCTCTTTTCTCACTGCACTGCCAGCCCAAGAGCTGCTGGTTTGTCTTAGCGTGCTGTGCAGCTATGTATCTTCATATGCTCTCTCTCACTCCCTCTATACCTCCCTCTCACTCTGTCTCACTCTTTCTCTGCTGGGCCTGGCTCATACTTGAAAGTCTGCTTCCAAATTAGTGAAAGGTTCAGCTGATGAGCCTGAGCGGCAAAGCCTCAGCAGCCCACAAGCTGTTGTGTTTCTGAACACAAGCCATGAGTGGAAATTTGTAAATAAAGTCATGTGCCAACTTGCAGTATGCTGCCCCACTGACTAAATAAACCTATAAAATTATACAGTATGGCCAAGTGTAGAGAGTTCCCTGTTTTAACACATCATGTGTAACTCGGGGCTTTTTAAATGACTGCTACCTGCTGACAGGAAGTAGTTGTCTTTAAAGGAATAGTTTGACATTTTTGAAAATATGCATATTCTTATTCTTTCAGAGAGGTAGGTGAAAAACAATCATGAAGCCAAGACCAGCAGCTGGTTAGCTTAGCTAGCCTAAAGACTGGAAGCAGAAGGAAACAACTAGCTTGGCTCTATCCAAACGTAGCAGAGTTTGCCCACCAGCACTGCCTTGCAGGTTAAAAAAACCTATATGGAAAAACGACATGCTGGGATGTGTACAGGTTACTGCGCCCAGCCAGGAAACAGCCCAATATATATGCCACATTCAGATTGTTCACAAAGTAGCCTAATTATGAGCAATCAAGTCAGAAAAATGTATGCAGTTGTAATTCCAAGTCAGAGAAATCAGGAGTTTTGACAATATTGTCCACGTGGTGAAAAGAACTACAGAGGTGCAAAGAGCGAAATTGCTGCAGAGACACCATAGCAGTAACATCTAAATAAAATCCAGTATCACACTGATACAGTGAACTCAGCTAATATCACAGGAGCTATACACTGCTTTCAACAGGTCTCAGTTGTTACTGAAGTCAAATTGGTAACAGCAAAGTACAATATTACATCAGCACTCCAAAGCTGGAATACCCTAACAGAGGATTTTCTTGTTCTTCTCATTCTGCTGATATCGCATGACGGCAGCCCATGCTTGTAAAACCGAATGTGTCATTTCTACACTTTGCAGTCCTGGTATGGATTAAACAAATGAAATGTAGCATGTTAATTATTGAGCTTTAAAAGAGCTGGTGGGTGGATTGTGGTAACTTTTGGACAGAGCCATGTAGCTGTTTACCCCTGTCTCCAGTCCTAATGCTAAGCTAAACTAATCACCTTCTAGCTGTAGCTTCATATTTAGCCCACAGTCACAATTTGGGATGTCACAAGAATTGATACTTAGGCACCAAGTCGATGCCAAAATTCTGAAGACATGACAGTACTAATTTTTCTCCAGTACTGTTGATACTGGGCAGTTCTTCTGGACCTGACAGGGCAACATATATGCCTGCTATTCTGTGCTAAGCACTGCACATTGTGGTTGAGAGAGTTGAAAAATGTTCAACTTTGGCTAAAGGCCCTGACACACCAAGCCGTCAGTCAGCCGTCCGTCAAAGTTGGGCTGTTAGTGAGTGTCTGTGGCCCTTGTTGGTGCAATGTGTCCTGCACTGTTGGTGCTAATTGGTCTTTTTTCTGCTAATTCAGCATGTTGAATACATGTCAGAGAATGAAGTCACTCTGAATGGCAGTTTAGCTCAGAAAGGACAAACAGAAGTGAGGTATGTAAACAAAGAGCTAAAGTCAAGAGGGAGTGAGGTCGAAACAAACTTGTTATATGAAGTAAGATTATTTTTCTTTAGCCTTTGAACCCTTTAGAAGAAACATTTCCTGATGGTTTGTGTTTTTGTTCACTGGCGCACAGTAAATATGCTCTGTTCTTCCAACATTGGTTTGTGTAATATGCTAACTGGCTAACTAGCGTCAAGACAGTCTTCCGGTTTCCTTTTTTGAATGAGGACTACAGCTGCCTGCTTGTGTGGACGGGTATGTCCTCTCACACAGGCGCAGAACATACGTACTTGTTGGCCATCAGTTTGGTGTGTTCATGTGCAACTTTTTGGCGGAGACACAGCGACTTAAGGCGATGCAGCAGGGGGCTCTCGTCCCTGTTGGTTTTCTGATGTTGGTTTGGTGTGTCTGGGCCTTTACTTTCTACCCAGCTGTCCACGGTGGGGGAAGGGCGGTGCCACCACAAACACCAACTGTCACATCTTACATGTATAAGTGCTAAATAACAACAACAGTGGAGGAGAAATCTGTTAATATACTGTAGGCTATATATTGATATAAGTTTCCCCATCCACAGATCTTCTGAACCCGCATAGACTAGTGCTTTGCATTGGAGACACATCATCAGGGATTAATAATAAAATTTAAATTAAATGTAATTTAATGGAATTGAATTGGGTTTTGAGATTCGCTGGTACTGTTATCAACTATCCTGAGGTGGTACTGTCGATCTTCACATGTAACTCTTGGCAAGAGTTTCCTAAAATGTCCAAGTATTCCTTTAAGATCATTTACCCACATCTTGAATCACCAGAGTCTGGTGCTGCTTTACCCAAGACCACAGCCTTCCTACACAGCTCTATATAAGACTGTTCCCCAGCTGCTATATGCATAGCTCTTCCTCCACCAGTCTGATCACGCAGGATCTTCACCTCCAACAGTTTTCAGTATTGAGAGCCTCTTCCAGGGTCCAGACCCCTGACGGCTAAAGAGCGCTTCAAGCAGTGCTCGGGCTGAACTATTCTCTGCCTGCTTGGCATGGGGTCTTACTTCTCCAAAGCTCATGTTCTTTATGTGTTTGTCTTGGACACAGACGTGGAAAAGCCCTCAGCTGGTGGGGACACAAGTGAATCTAAACGGGGGAAGGGAAGAAATTAAAAGGAGGGGCAAATGCTGTCAGACGTGCAAATGTCTTTTACTGCCCTCCTGAGCCCTTGAGTTTTGACCTTTTAGTTTCCAAACTAATAATTTCCTTCTGCCTCCTTTGAACATTTTTCTTAAACAAAGTCTTGTTTATTGTGTGAATGTAGGACAGGAAAGGTTGGTTAATGGTGAGGCCAGTGGGGATGCACTTCCTGTTAATGTGTCAAATCTCAGTCAGGGCCAAAAGTTACATAATACAGTAACATTAAATCTGTATATTCACAGATAGTCATGGGAAAACGAATCTCTAAAAAATGTACACTAGAACAGTTTATGCACTCATAGTTCACCTTATAGATTCTGACTCAAACCATGTGTCTCATATAAAAATATAATAAACCATATCTGAACGATAACTTTGTATAATACAAGCATATCATGATGTTAGGTATGCCAGTGTATATTTGACTGTCCAAATTTCCAGAAAGTGTATAAATTAGTTTAAATTTATAACCCTATAACGGTAATATAAAGAATATATTGCTTGGCAAGTTACATTAGGTATTTTACATACAGTTGTGCCCTTAGGGAAGATGTCTGTCTTGCAACAAAGAGAATCTTACTCTTAGAAAAAAAGATAATTCTGTGCTCGAGACAGATGGGACGGCTGCAGTTTAAGCACAAATATCTGGCTGCTGCTGAAAATGCAATTTGTTCATTCAGTCATTAGTATCCAACAATGTCACGCTCACTGTCAGTGCTGTGATTTGTGCATGTCTGGGGTTAATAGACCATCTCCAGACAACAAGATGTCAGGGTAAAAGGATCAGTGGTTGGGTTGATGATTTGAAATATGGTCAAGAATTCCTTTCCTCCGGGGATTTTTTTTTTTTTTCATTCCTACTCCATTTTCCCATCCTTCTCTGTATTCCTGCGCTCTTGTAGTCTTACAGTAACTCTTCCTCGGGTTTAAACCCAGGCGGTGGTTTACATACTTGGCCTCCATTGTCTTCAGCCCTCTCAGAACCCACAGTCAGAGGAGCCTTAGGAGGTCTCGCTGCCTTCTTGGTCATGGTGTGGCAGCGCTCCAGTTCTCCTCTGATAATGTGTTTATAAATGTGATAATGATATTATATAATTAGATTTGTGCACTTTTTTTTTCCTCTGAAGGTTGTGCTTTCTAAATATTTTGCTGGCAAACAAACATATGGTTGTGGTTGGACGTGAAACCCACATTTATAATCTCAGGACAAATTCAGCAACTCGAGTCGATGTCTGGATCGCCTTTGGAATGTAAAATGCTTTTTTGGAACAGAGCTGGAAAAATTCAGTCGTACTAAAAAAATAAACAGCAGTGACATGTTCTTATGTTATTCTGAAGTATGCAAGTGGATAAAATGTAGGATAACTTCTTTAAGGTCAAAACTGTGTTTGTAGGTCATGTTCGCAGGACTCTAGTGATGGCAGTGTCAGTTGGTTTATCACTTTGGTCACAGACTGAACGATCTCAACAGCTATCTGAGGGATTAACATGAAATTTTGTACAAACATTCATGGTTCCCAGAGGATGAATCCTACTGACTTTGGTAATCCCCTGACTTTAGAAGCATTGTGAAGGTGACATATGTGGTTTTAAGTAAAATGTCTAGCAATTTCCATGAGTCTCAGCTCTATTTGTGTTTAGTGCATATTAATCTCACAAACCACTGGTTGTTTGCCAAGGGCCAATATTTCAGGCTGATCCACTGTACCCAGACTTCCTTTTCCATGCACCGACCATTCTGGCTCATCTCTATAAGCAGATATCTGCGGGAAAAAAATGTAATACAAAGCCATACAAAACTTACTGTCGGACGATAGTCAGTGGGTTCCAAAAATCTATTTTCAGCCAATGCATTCCGCCACTCCACACAGACTGTTTGCCTGCCATTCAAACGTGATTGATAAATACTACTTTGGCTACAAGCAGACTACTAACAGAAACCAAAACGCTTATGATACCAGTCTTGGACCTTCACCTAGAGATTCTGCATACATATGCAGATTTTTATTTGTTTATTATTTTTATAGAGATAAAGTGCATATTAGCCAATGTTAGCATGCTAAGCTAAGATTGTGAACATTTAATTATACCTGCTTAACATCAGCATGGTAGCTTTGTCATTGTGAGAATGCTAGCATTCGGCCTTTGCACACCGAGTCAGTCTTCTTCGGATGCATTTTTTTTTAATTCCTTCATCATCATCATCATCATCATCATCATCATCATCATCAAAAACAAACACAAAAACTTTGCACACTAATTTCGATGTGTTTCATTGTTCTATTCGTTGTTTAACTACCTGACCTGCTGAAAGTGAGCTATCTAAGTTATGAAATGATTCTGTGAGTCTCGTTCCTCTATCTTGTCACAGCTGTGTCCCGCCGCCACGTTTTCGTCACTGATGTTTGGTCAAACAGTTTTCTAAAGGCTTCTGAGGGATGAGAAAAACGCAGAAAATCTAATGTGTTCCGAAAATTTTAATGACTGACAAAAGTGTCGGACTCAGTTTGCAAATACGATTGACACAATTTGAGGTTGTATTTATTTTTAGACGTGCAACGATTCGGAAGAAAAAAAGGCCTTCAGTCTTCAAGAGTTGTTAACATGGCTGTGGCCGCTTGGTGTTTTGTTCCACTTAGCCCAGTGGTTAAAGATACAAGATATCAGATTGCATTCCTTTGTAGTAATCAGTATTAAATGACAGCTTCTAGGGTCACCACTTGACTCAAAACTTATGGTGGACTTAAGAGTCACAATTTCTGCACCTGATATTTTACTTTTTAAATAAGACCCAAGAAAAATCCACATTTAAGCTGTTAAAGCTTTACCATGTTATATGCAACTGAAAAACATGCATTGTCTACTCATTAATGAAGAAAGAATAAAAAAAAAGAACATTAGAACAGAATGCCTTATGTCTTTCAGAATGAACATAAATCCTATTTATTTACCTGGGCCACTGATCTAGTAATCCTAAAATAAAAGCTTTGCCTTTTATCTGGGACCACATGGATGATGATCCCTTAATAGACCGCGACAGCCTAAATGAAACTGTGGTTCCACCGGCCTCCCTTCCTTTGATCATTACGACTTAAGGGGCTCCACAGCCCGCCGTCGTTGACTCTGTCCTTGACTTCGTCAAAGTTAAACTGTTTGCAATGAGACAATTGTTACCATCAGTGAAAAGCATGCAGCTGTGTACTATAAAGGTGATTTCTGAGATATGGGGGTATTAATAACAGGAAGGCCTTGTGACAGAGGAGCCACAGGTTTGTGTATAACAGTAGGCAGAGCAGGGGCTTATGAAAGAAAATAAAAAAGCATAATATAGGACATCCTGTCTTGACTGCAGGTTTTATGTCCTCAGGAATGGATGATTTCTGGTTCCAGGGACTCATGCCGATAAGCCATCTGCTCCAAAAATCCTTTCTGTCGCAGTGTGGCATATGCAGCAGGTTTCGGTGCATCTGCACCATCTACTCTGCTGTCCCGGTTGTTATGATAGTATGATTGAATTACTTTGGGTTTCCACGCTGTTTGCATTCTTTCATTGTCTCAGTATACATCCAGCATTTCAAACCACACTCCTCCCCCACCAGCTGTAAACAGAAATGTACAGCGAATATTCCTGATCAGCCTCAGTTTGTTGATGAGTTTTCTTCAAGTGCCCCATAAGCCAAATGTCCTGACCTCAAGGTTCAATTTAAACAGAAAGCGGTTGCTCTGCACTGCTCAGCACAGATGTTATCAAGCAAAAGATGCTATCGAACGAGAGACCTACAGGCGATTGGATCGGCTTTTCTCATCCCTCATACTCTTCCCTTCTGTTATTTTCTCAGTGACCCCTGAGTGCCAGTAAACATGCAGGGTTCAAGGCCTCATACGAAGCCAGCAGCAATAAAGATGAGTAATGATTGCCTCTCTCTCTTTTTTCCCTTCACAGACAAGCCAGCCTGAATGAGGCAGCCGAGAAGTATTATGGACAAGCAGCGAGCCTCAGACCCAATGTGAGTACAACCACAACTAGCTAATCACCCCTATTACTATTTACCCTGATGGACACTGTGCAATCATAGTGTGGGTGGCTTTCCAATATTATTACTGCCTGGTCTGCCTTGTCACAACGGCCTTCATTGTCAGTGTGTCTCAGAAAAATGAGAGCTAGGTTTTCACTGAGCTCAGAGGTTTGTTTGCATAGCATCCATCACAGCTTCAAAGGACAGGCCAGGGTACGTAGGTTGAAAAGAATAATGATAACAACACTCAGTGAGGGGAGTCTGACATCTTGAAAATGAATGGGGTCCAGTCTTTGAGAGCTTTGGCAGGAGGGGTCGAGTTGTTTAAGTGAGGGCCGCAGAGGAAGCAAAATATGTTTGCCATGTGGTCACCCTGTTTGTTCCTGCGGCTTGATTAGAAGAAATCAGTTCAGGATTAATGATCAAACTATATCTGGACAGTGTTATACAGACAATAAAGTTTGGCTTTGCATGCACACAACCCCCAGTGTAACATATACAAACAAGGACAAACAAAAAGACAAAACAAAAAAAGTTGAGTATAACAAAGGGATAAAATTTAAGATTTCCACAGAAACCATGAAATTGAGCCGCTGTCCCATTTGTTGTACTCAGTGTCGGTGTAGCATTCAACTTTTGCCAAAGAATTGTATATTTTTAACATCTAATTAAACCCAGATGTAAGAAAAATAATTCTCCACATTGCTTCAGTGCAAACTCGTACATAAATAATGTAAGAGAGTTTAAGGTGAGTTGTGGGAGTGTTTCCATGAATTCTCTTTTATAAGAGGTACACACTCCTCTTTGTGCTGTAAGGACGTTCTCACATCTAATTATTGCTCACTTTTTTTTTATCTCAAAGCTTGCAGAACCTCATACATAAAGGTTGGATTTTTGTTGAAAAATTGGAACTCACCTTGAGAAAGAGCTTAAGCTTCTTTTTCTAGGAGGATTTATATGTTTTGTCCAACAATGAAAGGTATTGGATGGTTTTCTAATGGTTCAGTCATTTTCTTTACCCGCTTGTCCCTTTAAGGTTAAATGATGACAAAATTGTCAGCTTGTTAAAATTCGTTTCCATCCTCAGTCTGACACTGTGTCCTCTCTAACCTATATCCATGAAGGAGGAGTATTAAATTTTCCCTAACCAGTCACTAGAGGCCAACGTGTCTGCCTGGAACTAATGTCATTCAAAGTCCACACTGATGCGTAGCAATGCTAACATACCTGTTTAGCAGGGGTTTTAAGAGCAGAACGGAACAAAGTAAAACAAATTACGATGTTGGGCAATATTGAGAAAATATGTCAATTTAAAATTGCCACGGCAGCGCCTATCTTGGCTATAGCCTTCGCCATTGTTGTTATAATTCCTCAGACAATGCTTGAAAACAGCTCAAAAACTGTGGCAGCTCCACCCATAGCACTGATTGGCTTTTTGAGTCCTTCCGTTGTGTTCATTGGTTGTTCTTTATTTTCACTTAAAATATCATGTTACAATGCCCGACAAATCGGTCAACACGAACTTTGTAGGATGGGCAGATTCAAAGGTCTGGACCCAGGAAACCTTTAAGGGTCATGGGGGCTGAATCCTATCCAACATGCAATGAATGAGAGTCAGTGTAAATTTAGGTCACCAGTCTGGGTTAACACTATTGCTAGCTTAACACAGATGACTGTTGGAGTTACTGTGAGGATACAGGCTTGGCCATTGAGAAGACCACTGCCGTGCCGCCCCCAGATGGATATGTACTTCTGTAAAAACATGCAGAGGATGTTTGTGTTCCTTACAGTTCTACACGGCCATATCCGTTCAATTTCCACATGACTGTTTCTTGGCATGTGTAATTGTACAAACACGCATTTGATGTCCACATCCAAACACAGAGGCAATTTTTTTTGCCCCTACTTGGTCACTTTTGCTTGGATGCCTCTTGCCATTTGTATTGCTTACAGCTGAGGCACAATTATAATTTAGCATCTTCATGCATCTTCTTTACCATTATCCTTTGTTCTTTCCGATGCGACTTGACTTAAGCCATGTACCCTGTCCATCTTCATTTGTCGTGTCATGCTTTACTGCGGCATGACTCTTCACTCTCCAAAGACACTGGTGTTTTATATTAAGCACATATGTTTGCTCGCTCTGAGTGAGAGAAGACAATTCCCTCCATTCAAAGGATTTAGTCCCTTAGTCCTACAATTCCCTCTATCTAAGCGAGCTAAATCTCAAGGGATGCTTCAGTTGCTTTGGTAGATCTGTGCACCCTTTCCTCATTCCACGTAGATATTCTGTGCCTCAATCCCAATCTGAAGTCATTATGGTCTGTTCATTCCCCAACCTAACTTCACTTTTTACTCTTTCAGCCTTTACAGCATATGTTGCTTTACGGTCTAGGTTAATATACTCCACATCTGGCCGTGCCTTTGCTGCTACATGCCAGGTTTGGGAAGGGTATGCAGGCAGAGAGGTTGCAGAGCAGCAGGAAATGAGGAAAAAATGAAAGCTTTTGACAAGGGAACGTTTTGCAGAGTGTTGCAAGTGTGAGGAAGAATGCAGAAGTAGGGATATAAATCACAAAAGTCTTAGAGCTATATGAAGTAGAGGGGAAAAGGCTTTGGTGAGGAAAGGTGGGGAGTCTACAGGGGAGAGTGAAGGAAGGAGACTAAACTCAGGAATTGATAAGTCTTGCAAGAGCAGAGAAGAAAAGACCCCTTTGAGCTGCACTGAGAGGAAAACCAGGAGTCTGTTGACTTTCTACCTAGCAGTCCGAAGCACATTTTAGAATTGTTCTTACGCATCTTGGCAATCTCTCATCCATCTAAAACCTACTCTTTTCTGGACAGACATTGATTCTTGGCAAAAATCTTGTTAAAAGTTTGCTCCCCAATGGCCTTTCCTACAGTCTGTATCATCTGCGGACAGTGTCCTGAGAATCAGGTCCAGGGGACTGTCTGTGTCAGAAGCATTCTCACCTATTGGAAATACTCCATTTCATGTAGGCGAGGGGTGGCACCTGGGTAAAGCATACAAGAGGCAGGACATGATACGGATTATATCGCTGTCACGTAGCCGGTTTTTAATTTGGTCATTTACAACAGAGTCTCTTGCCGTTTCTTTTGTCTGTCTGCAATATAGGCTTTAGCCCTTACCCACAGAAGTTCCAGAATCTCATAATCTCACCAGTTAGACATTTTTGTTGTCATCTTTGTGCAGATGACCCTTCTTCCTCACCCTTGAGAGTTTGATTCTTCCAGTTTTGTGCGAGCCTCATCATTAACAGGCTCACTCGCTTGCTGTGAATTCTCCAGACAATTACCTGCTGTATTCAAACATGGGCCAAATCGCACATTACATGAACTTTGTACTAGAAAGCTGGCAGGGTAAAGTCAGTTTAATGCCCGGTCCAACTGATTCGCTCATTTGCGCTCTCACGTACAGCTCCTCCGGGTAATGTCTAGATAATTTCAGGTTTGAAGTGCATCTATGAAGGGGGCTGAAGGGAAAACTTTCCATTGTGTGTTTTGTGAGAACACAAATTCAGTCTGTTGCCTCAGGCTAAAGAGAAGATACAAGAAGCTTGAATCCTCACTGAAACATTCCAGGCCATCAGATCAGCACATGCAGTTAGATGTACAGTTGTTGTTTCTCCGCATGGCAAGCTGGGTATTAGCTGACCTTTGTTATTCTATCAATTAGTGACATTTATGTGGTGTCATGTTACCATATGAACTGGCTGACCTCGTAGAAACAGACTGAGGCCAAGGGTGTAATTTGCTCTGGGGCTGGGGGGGGGGTACATCTTCCCCCCCACTTTTCAAAGTCCTTTTTTTAGTCTCCATCACTTTTACAACTTAAGTTTGATTCATCAACCAAAAAAACACCAAGCCACAAAAATCCAGATGGGAGAGGCTCTGAGTTGATCAAAATATAAACATTGTCATCTTCATCTATCATCGCCTTGAGTTATTACTGTGCGTTCACCGCAGTTAAGCTTTACAAGCAGTAACGAGTGATTTGCAGGCTCTGTTTTTTGTCCGAGATATTTGGCTTCTCAGGCAACGTACAAGCTGTCCTACCTTCATAGTGGTGATTGTTTGATTGACGCTATTCTTAGAGCTGAAAAAGCTCCCCCAACTCCTTTGCATTTTTGTGTTAAGTACAGTCATTTTAGCTGTTTTTATTTACAGATAATTTCCTAAAAATTACTCTAATATTCGCAATCAAAGATAAGGCAGAAAAAGGTAGTGTTCTTTGTGTTAAATATATGAATAAAGGATTATTTATTGAGTTCAAAGGTCCATTGCTGACTTTGGAAATGGTAGTCTGCATTTTTATAAAATGTAATAACAATATTTATCTAAAAAAATCAACCAAGGAAATTATAAGGTAGATGTTTAGAGCAATGTGTAAATGTTTTGGTATTATGAAAATTATTATGGCCAGTAACAAATACAAATTTAATCCTAATTTATTATGATTAATAATAAATGATTCATAATCTTCTGAAACCAAACCTACGCCCTTGACTGAGATCATCGCAGTTCACTTAACACTGGATCCTCACCAACTCCACAGAATAGCATTAGCGCTCTTTTGCCAATATACACCCACTTGTCACCTACATGTTGTGGATACAGTATTTGTGTGTGGCCCCTTCACTGTCACTTTCATCTATGTCCATATGTATAAACAGTTATATATTTTGGCTAGGATTATTCTGAGTAGTAAAAATCCCCCAACTTGCAAATTGATCCCCCAGCGTTATTTTGTGGTTTGACCTTCAAATGGTGGGTCAAACAGAAGGTAATTTATTGCACAAACAGCCACAGAATTACCCCGACCATTAAAATCAAGAACTCTGGCTGCTCCTGTGAACAATAATTGAAATGCAGGGAAGACGTTTTGTTTTGCTATGGGATTAACGTAATTGCGCAATATGTGTATGTAAAGGTAATACAACATTTGGAGTCAGTGAGTAACAGTTAAAGTGTTGGTCATGCCAGCCTTTACTTTACCCAAGGCATGTGTTGCATGGTTTATATGTGTGGAGGGGAAAAGTGGCGTCTCTCTAAGGGACAACAGGATTATCCCAGAGTCCCTTTGATTTATTCATCAGTTTAATTCTCCCTATGAGAAAAGCAGCACTATTGGACATATTGTTCCCATTGAAATTCACATGCATGGAGCATCACTCATTCAGGCTTGACATTGGAAAAACAGAGAGATGTTTTGAGAGTTTTGTGAGACAAGAGTGGAACAGTATAGCAAAGGAGGGCAGTTCACACAACCCACGGTGTGGACAAAGCAAGATAAATGGCCATAGGATCTGAAACTGTCTGCGTTTGGTAACCTCTCTGAAAAGGTATTCTCGCTGCATGGATAAACTAATGACTCTTCAAACTCACTACAATACATATACTGTATGGGAAGTGTTTAGGTTCAAATAGTCATTTGTGGTTGTTTGTCTTTTTGGTTCGAAAACATGATTTTTGTTGTATAGAAAAAGATAATAAATGAATCTTATGTGCTTTAAAAAGTTGTAGGACTTAAGAAATTATTACACTCTCCAGCTGTAAAAATGTGAAGCCTCTGTACCAAATATTTTTATTTATTTATTTTTTTAACATTTAAGCAACTAAAATGTGCGTAATACATCTACTGCCTCGATACCGAACCTCAATAGCAGTGGCTAATCTTGAGTTTTCCTAGCTGGTTAGCCAAATTCAAAAAAGTATAAGTCTTGGAATGAAATAGAGAATTTAGTACTGTGTGGACAGATTTGTTTGCTTTTGCTGCCAGCTCTGCAAAGTACCGAAAATCATAAATAGTTCCCTGCAGAGTAGCTACCTTGTGGTAAAACATATTAATGAATACTCATTTAGACTATTAGTATAGGCAAATTTAGACTTAATAGGCCGTTTTACCTTCATTAAAAATATGTTTTGCAGCTCCACACAGATTAAAAAAAAAAAAAAAGGCTCTTTTGATAGTAAAGGTTGATGACTCCTGGTCTAATGAATGCATTGGCAGAAAATTTGGTACAGACTTTCATGGTTCCCAGAGGATGAACCGTAATGACTCTGGTGATCCCTTGACTTGTTCTATGGTGCCACCGTAAGGTTGACATTTGTGATTCAGACTGAAATGTCTTGATAACTATTTAGTGGATTGCCACAATATTCTATTGGACGCAATCATGTTCCCCACAGGATTAATCTTAATTACTTGGGCAATCCCTTCACTTGTTTTTCAGTGCTGTTTTTAGGTAAATTTTTTTAAATTTGTCCAACTTTTATGAAAACTGGCACATCTAATGACAATACCATCAGCCTCAGCTGTACTCTGTCTTGTCCTAAATAGCAAATGTTACCATGCTAACATGCTAATCTCAAATCATAACCTGCTAAAACATCAGCAACGTTAACACTGACATTGTTACATTAACATTCAGCTCAAAGCACCACTTCACAGAGCCACGTAGCACAGCTGTGACTCTAGTCTTTGTTAATAAGCTCTGTCTTTGTTTTTCAGCAGCACTGCTGTTGTTGTGAATGATTCACATTTCCACACACTTCTCATAACATTCCACAGATTTCTCATAACATTTATAGAAAACACCATTCTCTCATGCAACTGCTCCACAGTTAGTCTTGATTAGTTAATAGCCATGAGAAATAAATTAAGGCTCTTGTGGTACAGCACATCAGTAAATGTCAGGATGACATAATCATGTGCCACTCCATGTGGCAATGATGTATGGAGTGATAATTATAAGAAAAAGTCACAAACACTGCAGTAAAACCACATGATTGGCCATTTTTTACCAAGATTGTGTTATTTAAACATTCCTCGTTTCCTAGGACTTGCAATTACAGAAATTACAATAGTCTCAAGCAGTAAAACAGTAGCTTCGCTACAGGATTAGACATCTTTTCCACACTTCGGACTAAAATGGAGATCAGATGTGGCCCCTCCCTTGGCCTGGATACTTAACAGTCTTACCGTGATTGCACCCTGGACACTTTTCCTGTACTTATGTCGTCATGACTCATCCGCCTGTCGCAGTGCCCCTTGGCACCAGAAGGAATTTACAGTATATTCATCTAGACCCACTTCAAAGTGGTGGTTGCTCCCTCTGACATCTGTGGCCACAGAGAAGACACAGGGACACGCAAAGCAGCATGGTTACCAAACTCCAAACACTGCACCGCAGTCTGTGTGATCTGACAAACAGGAACCAATAACGTGTACTGGTCTGCTGTATAGCTTCACAGGATGACCAAATGTTCGTCCTATGTGACTTTTATTTAAAAGGACAAAATAACTGTTTATTCCATAAACTAATGTAGACATCCACTGTGACATTTTCCCTGGTTTTGTAATAAAATTCCCATTTTAAAGTGTTTAAAGCTCTAACATTCAGAAATAACATCTGTTCAAAGTGTGTGTGTGTGTGTGTTGGTGTCCAGTGCCCAGACAATTAACTGGCTGTGGCTCAGTGATATAAAACATCTCTGGTCAAATTCAGTTCCCTGTTAAATTATGTATACCCCCATAGTGTGAATACTTAAGACTTCATTTGCATTATTAATCGTATCGTATCATATCCCTTCTCTGATGTTGTAAAATTTAAAACTTTCATTAAATGAATCCTCTCATTAGTAGTGAGTAAATAACTGTTATTGTAAGTAAGTCAGCCCACTCTTACTATGTCTGAGCAGCTGACTCACTGTGTTTATAGTAACTGTACCTATGTCTCAGTGACAGGGTATGACTCCTGTGTTGCTATTCTGGAACAGAAAAGGCGGTGTATCTTTGGAACAAAGCTTAAAGCTACCCTGAGGTGTACTAAGTCATTTTAGGACAAGATCGGTTTCATACTAAGATTTTCTCTTCTTTTGGTTTCAGTATCCTGCCGCCTTGATGAATCTGGGGGCAATCCTCCACCTCAACGGGAAGCTGCAAGAAGCTGAAGCCAATTACCTCCGAGCACTTCAACTGAAACCGGATGACACCATCACCCAGTCCAACTTGCGTAAGCTGTGGAACATCATGGAGAAACAGGGCCTGAGGACCATGAGCCCCTGAGCTCACCCTGCTCGCCTACCTGCCATCTGCACGCCAGACCTGGGGGGAAAAAGGACGGCCTACACGCTCCTCATTCGCTCTTCTCATCCAGGAAAGACGGAAGAGACTCAGGGAGGATGTTTGCTCAGAGAGGCCATGACTGTGCAGCACAGCCCTCCTAATAACTCCTGAGCTCTGCATACACCTCAGGCCAGCAGCAGAAGCATTGCTCACAGTTTGGCAGGCACTGCGTGGTATTTGGACTCTTTAGAACTTTGTTCAAAATAAGTGCTCTCACAGGAACCACGTTTTTGTTTTTTTGTTTTTTTTGTTTTATAACTAGAGCACTTGAACTTGAAGCGAGACCATAGGTACATTCTTCAACATTTGTGATGAATTAGGGTTTTCTAAATAAGCAATTGTAGTTCAAAGGGGTGAAATTTGTCCCTGAGCAGTGTGAGATAAAATATAAAAGAAAGAAAAGAATCTCAGAGCACTGCACTGAGGGTATTTTCAATCACCATTTAATGAAGTTCTTGGTTTTATCAGACGTTCATTCTTGTTAATGAAGGAAAAAAAGGCAATATGAAGACCTGGATACCATTCAGAATCACCAAATTAAGTTTTTAGGTTACTAAAATCTCAATCTAAAACTTTGTTTTTTCCTCATGAGATTACACACACTTCATCATAAAGACATGAAAATTCACACCATCATTGCAAACCATTTGTAGCAGATGTCCTGATATTTGGTGAAAGCTTGAAAAGGGAATTTAATATGGTAGCCATTACAGCACAACAATAGCCTCTAAAAGCTCCACGAAGGCTGGACTTTGCCAAAAACAGTATGTTTTGGCAAGAAAACTCAAAAGCAAAGGAAATGGGACTCTTTTCACATTGTACTGCCTTATTATAAAAGGTGTGGATCTTCTCTAGCAGTGTACAGTAGCATACAGGTGGCATTTTTACCACCACTGCCTCTTGTTCTGCACTGGCAAAGAAGCCAAGTCACCATGGTAACTCATTTGTCGGCAACAGTAAGAAGCTATGAATGGAAATATAAAAAAAAAACCTTCCTGTGGAAGTCACAGACAACAAAGAGGCAGGTACTAAAGTCTTGAGTACACGTCTCCCCACACGTCTGGAGTTTTCACACCGATGAGAGTTCTTCTAACCAAATACAAACGCTATGCCGATGCACACCTTTTCATCACAGATATAGCACGGCTGAGGGAAATGTTTTAATGCCTGTGTTTTTTGTTGGAATAAAACTAATTTCATTGTGTTTGTATAAATGAATCCTAATATATACCTACATTGTATATATAGTATACAGAAAATCTTGCAGCAAAAAAGTAGCCAGACTTAAAGCGGACGCTCAGATACTGAGCAAGTTTGGTTCATCACATGAAGTATTTCCCATAATGTCAAAGCTCAGTCTTAAGGTCTCATTTTGTATATATTCTGTGTAATTAACATCTATCTGTTTGTTTGTTGTTGCCAGCATACGGTAAGTGAAACAGCACCTTGCGGGAAGTAAGAATATGTACAGTATTTGTGATCATTTGTTTGTCATTGGCCACAAACCTCCTGAACTATCTGTGTCCTTAGTTTATACATTGTAAGTTATTGCTTTGTGTTACCTTAGCAACAGAACCAGCTGGCACTGTGTTTTTTACATGTAAAATGAAGGAAGTTGGCAGATGTGATGTACACGAGTACAGTGGAGGATAAAACATTGAATATATGTCACAATGGTGTCAACACTGTTCTGTTTTTGACTGTGATGGTCACTAGTGATATGTCTGGTAAGATAATGACAGTTCATTCCTGCCCCCGCACCTCACACACCCCATAGTCAAAGAGCTCGCTAAGTTCTCCTGTGTATATAAAGTGTTTATGAACAAACACTGATCATTGTTATTGCTTGAGTGAAGATGTAAAAAACTCTGTGTCTCTGCTCAGGGATCTCAAGCGGTGGGTTATTGCAGAAACTTGTTCACAGAGCGTTTACTAAATTAAAGATTTATTTTTGAAAGTTGTTGTATTTGTATAAATTATCGAGATTTGTAGCCTTTTTCTCCTTTTTGTAATATAAAGATGAACAATGTGCCAGAATAGACTTCTTTTCTTCCCAATGTTGCTTTTTTTTCCACAATAAATTTATGGTGTTCTGCTTTTGTTTTGGTTCCCACGCAGCCGTTTTTTTTATTTTTATTTTTTTTACATTGACAGTAGATGTTGGTTTAAGATTAATTTATGGATATCATATGGATTTGTAGCATTCACCACCATTCAGAAACACACATTCCTTTTCACAGTCTGTAGCAACATCTACAGACCTTAGTCAGATTTCCTTTGTATTCATGTGGGATAGCAGACTTAATGGGGTGGTCTCGCATGCTGTGGAACAGGTTTTACAGGGCATTTAAAGTTCCCCCCTGCAAATTTGCAAAAATGTGTCATAAAATCAACTCAAATGGATCTCCTCCACTTTGATCAGTGAACAACAAAGACGACATGTAAATAATCCCATATGGAAGGGGTAGCACGGTGTCTACATATGGCTGGTGTGTTTCGATTACAGCCGCCCCCACAATTCAGACCCCGCTGACAAGCAAAAGGCCCTTCCCTGAGAACGAAGCAGCCTGCCTTGTGATGTTTCTCACATGTCTACATGGAAGGTCTGCTCCCATGATCGGAGCTCACCATGGTGCCCAGCTTTCCTTATTGGACTGGAATGCACAGAGGCCGCCTGCGCTGTCTAGTCCAGTTTGAATCTTCTTCTCATAACACAGGTGCGCCTCACTTATCTTGACAAATAATGAAACAGTGAAGCTTGCTGATTTGTTGGGCTGTGGAGTCACGCTACTGAAGCAATGTGCTTTCAGTTTTTGCTCTAGGCCTCAGGAGGCTTTTGGGTTTCCTCCCATATGATATTTAAAAGCCTGCTGACTTTGAAATTGTATGACACTGGACATGATGGTTGCAGCAGTAGCAGAGAGTACTGTTTTAGTTGTTGCAAGTGATTTCACAGATACAGCCTTTACCCCATCCTAAAGGATTTCAAGGCATGCAAGCAGCAGGGGCTCCAGGGATAGTAATGTCAGTCTGTCCACCACTTTGGGACGGACTGAAATATCTCAAACTATCTGAAAATTTCCATGAAACCTTACACAGACATTTGTGGTCCCCAGAGGATTAACCATAATCACTTTAATAATTCTCATCAGCTAGGCAAAGACGTCACTTAACCTGTGAGATATTTACTAGATGGATTGGCCCAAACTTTGGTAGACGTTCATGGTGATCCCCTAACTTTTCCTCTTGCACCACGAGGCTAACATTTGTGGTTTTGGGTGAAATATTTCTCAACTACTAGAGGGATTGTCATCGAAGTTGTAATTTCATTTGTCCAATACTTTTATGACTAAATATTATACTAGCATAATTTATGGCATTCCCATCAGCTGTACTATAGAGTGGTCCAGAAATGAGTCATTAAACATGGAAGTGAGTTTGTATTTCAGCACTCCTGGTTCCCTTGTCTTAAAGTCAATGTTTTTTTTTCAGTAAATGGGTTTTAGTTAGATGCCTAAATAAGGTCTGTGGTTAAAGCAAGCTGAAGACACTTTCATGTTTGGTTTATGACATAAAATACATCAAAAAATACCCCCCTCACGAATCTTGAGGCTTTGGTGTCTTTAAAAAGGCAGTTGCTAACAAGTCATGCAACTGTAATGCAGTTTGTATAGGCTATAGCCCAGTGTTTAGCTGAAAACTAACTGGTGCCGCCGCGCCACCGCGTGTCATGTGACATGCTTCAAGTGAAGCCTGTAACACACACTGGAGGCGTTACACTGCAGCTCGTCAACAGACGACCACGCAAAGTTATCACTACTTTTACTGAAAGAGCTGTACTTCCTCCACCTCTGCATTAGCTTAAAGTCATAGAGAGCCCCCAATTATACTTGATTTCTCACCTGAAAAGCCAATCTTCAGAGCTATGACTCACCAGGCAATATCTTTTTGCCCATTGTCTTTATAATGACAGCATTGTGGGTCATTTAGCTCGGGATATTTCTCGAACCTCAAGCAAGAAGTCTCTCCTCATTTATTCCTCAGCTACAGAATTCTCTTTTTACATAATGGTGAGGAGCAGAAAAAAAGGAGCCAGTATGTACAAGCAGAGAGCGAATGGGGGAAAAATGCATTTGATTCCTGGGGCGGTCAGGCTGGAAATAGGACAGTGGCCCAAAGTGCCATGGGGCAGTGCATCTAGTGGCACCCTGGGGATCTGCCCATTGGTCCGACAGCCCATTGGTTTGACATCCCATTGTTCCGACCATATTAAACCCATTGTTCCGAAGTCTGTTCCGACATCATCATGATGCCCTGTGGTTAAGGTCTGGTTAGGTTTAGGCACAAAAACCACTTGGTTAGGGTCAGGAAAAGATCATGGTGTGGGTTAAAATGAAAAAGAAAGTGACAAACACATAAGCCATGAGCCTGCTCCGCCTCAAGCCTTTCCCAGCTGACCCAGAGCCGGTCGCGGCGCACCATCAAGGTAGAAATACACCCGCCGCGAGCCGTTCAGCACCGCGGACAGTCGGACTAATGGGATGTTGAACCAATGGGCTGTCGGACCAATGACATGGACCCGGGGCACCTACGCATGTCTAGCTGCTGTCGCTGTAGGGTTGTACATTGGCGAATTTTCTGACGTGCTGCATTCACTGTTGGTGTGTTTTGGCCTTCAGCTTTTTACCTCTGGCGATGGCAATATATGCCTCAATTTGTGAAGATTATCTTGCTGAACAAAATGTTGCAGTATCATAAACTCTTGTTTGCCATAGAGCTTATTTTCTGCAGGAATCCAAAATTCAATGTGAAAATCTTACTGGCTTTATGGGGGAACCAGGGCGATGCTAACTTTGGCATCAGCCTACAAAACAAACATCATCGCTGCAGCACTCTAAAGCTGTTTAGTGCTGAATAGCAAATGTTAGCATGCTAACAAACTAAACTAAGATGGTGAACAAGGTAAACATACCTACGTCATTGTGAGGATTTTAGCATGCTGATGTTAGCATCTACCTCAAAGCACAAGCATGCATTCAGTAGACCTGCATCATAAGGGTCTGTTGTCTGAGAGGGCCATTAGTATGTTGAAAGTTCAAGCAGTTTCACAGACATGGTCTTTGCCTTGTCCTAAAGGATTTTCAAAATACAGTAAATGGACCAAATTTTTGGCCATGAAGCTTCACCACATACGGTTCAACTTCTCTCTGATCAAGTCTAGCTATAAGATGTAACTGCCACTTTAACACTCGTATAAGCTTTCCTAAAACGAACCTAACAGATACATGTTGAGTTTATTAGTTTATTTGGATCTAGTGTCAGAGTGGCCTTTAAACAAACAGAGATGTTTCCGTCCTCTCGTGTCCTCATTTGCCTGTAAACCTCTCAGCACTTGAGCGTTCACGCAAGCATCTAATTTTGTCAGTTGTTATTAGTAGAGCGCAGCTTGAATTAGAGGGGTAATGATAAATCACGTCAAGGATCCTTTCCCATTGACACCATTATTATGTGCAGCAGCAGCCTGTTAATTAAATCATCTGAAGAATTATAAATAAATGTGAAGGGATATCATCACACCCAAAGCGATATAGTGTGGATTTATTCAAGTTTATAATTTACAGCCAAAAAAGCATTGAGTTTGTAAAGTAAAATGAGATACAAAAATACTGTCTTCCCTTGGAGAAAATCCCATCTCATGCAGCTTGATTCCCTGTTCTTATAGAAAAATATTCACATTTCTTTTATGGCATTTGATAAACCCTGGATTCCCTGTGCCTAGCACCTCTTGCATCCAAGAGAGTTCAGGCTTGGAGAAAGGAATTTGTTTTATTACACTCTGATCTGATAAATCTGCCCGCTGTTATCAAGCAAATATTTTGTGGTATTTGCTGATGAACTATCACCACTTTGATCTAAGGAGCCTGAGCCGTGCGCTCACAGCACTGCAGAGTGGATAGCTGTGCGTGATGCTGAGAAGTCCTCCCTTCTGGACCCAATATCCACTGTTATTACTTGATAGAAGAAGCATTAAGATGAGACTCTGCTTCATATTATTGAAGTGTTTTGATGTCCAGAAAGGAAATTGTCTTTCTTTGGTGTTATGTTGCTGTGCAATATCTACTACTATTTTAGCCAGTAACAGAAGCTACTGTATGTCTTTTAAATACAATCTTGGTGTTCATTAGTTACTAAGGAGGGAGATTCCTGAGCCTTTTATTGTGTCAAATTTTATTGTGGGTAAATATGCTGTGATACATTTGTGGGCCACAAACTATTTTGTAATTATCGTTTGAAAAGAAACACATGTTGCCAATATTGGGTCAGCCTAGTGCACCACTATCAAAATAAGATGTAATGACGGAATTTTTATGAGTATAATAATTTTCTTGACAGATTTATTCAACAAATGTCAACGCTCTGACCTCAAAACAAAGTAGGTAATTCAGCTTATTAGGTTATGTGGCTAACAAGCTTAGTAATGTTGGTCTGTTGTTTGGTCCACAATTTTTGGTTCAGACTGAAATATGTCAACCAATACTGGATGGATTGGCATAACATTTGGTACAGATATCCATTGTGCCCTGACGATGAATCATACCCAGGTAGCCAAAATGACCTGGCTCTGAATCAGCCTGAACCCGGCAAGCCGGATAAAATTAACTGGGCCGCGTTCATTTGTTATATTTGGCTGAGATTTGGCATAAATGACATCCCAGAATCGGGCCAAATCAGCTGGCCCAATTCCAGGTGCAGACACTGCCTTCACTGGGCTGTTGTCAAAAATGAACTGGCCTAGCATCGGCCCAAACTCGGCATGCTGGAAGAAATAAGTAGGCCCACATCGGGTCGAACCAGATTTGGCAACCACCAATGGTCAAGAGTTCTGTTTTGGTGCTGGCTGCTGTTTCATCCATCAGCTGTGTCTCAGCTGGGATAGGCACATGTTTACAATGCATAATCAGGCTCAGATTTAGCAACCATAAACAGGCCAGGACCTGTTTTGGTGCTGGTTGCCATTTTATCCGCTTGCCGTTTGTCAACCGGAATAGACCTGTATCTGTAATATCTACACCTGGGCCAAATTTGTTAGAAATTAAAAAG